CGTTGATTCTAAATCTCTTTATGGGTCTTATATATCTGGGTGTTAGGATCATTAGCTCTTATTGTTGCATTGATCCTTTTACCACTATATCTTTGTTGCTTTGAAATCTATTTTATCAGATGCGAGAATTTCAACTCCTGCTTTTTATTTATTTATTTATTTATTTTTGCTCTCCATTTGGTTGGTAAATCTTTCTCCATCCCTTTGTTTTGAGTCTGTGTATCTTTGGATGTGAAATGGGTCTGGATGCAGCATACCATTAGGTTTTGGCTGTATCTTTTGATTGGGGGATTTAGTTGACTTAAATTTAGGATTACTGCCATTTGATGTTAACTGGCTATTTTATCCATTCGTTGATGTAAATTCTTCTTTATGTTGATGCTCTTTACTTTTTGGTATATTTTTAGAAAGGCTAATACTGGTTGTTCCTTTCTATATATAATGCTTCTTTCAGAAGTTCTTGTAAAGCAGGCCTGGTGGTAATAAAATCTCTGAGTACTTGCTTGTTCATAAAAGATTTTATTTTTCCTTCAATTGTGAAGCTTAGTTTGGCTGGATATGAAATTCTGGGCTGAAAGTTCTGTTCTTTAAGGATGCTGAATATCGGCCCCCACTCTCTTCTGGCTTGTAGGGTTTCTGCTGAGAGATCTGCTGTAAGTCTAATAGGCTTCCCTTTGTGGGTAACCTGACCTTTCTCTCTGGTTGCCCTTAGTATTTTCTCCTTTGTTTCAACCCTGGTGAATCTAACGATTATGTGCCTTGGAGTTGCTCTTCTTGAGGAATATCTTTGTGGTGTTCTCTGTACTACCTGGGGTTGAATATTGTCCTGCTTTGCTAAATTGGGAAAGTTTTCCTGAATAATATCCTGAAGAGTATTTTCCAGCTTGGATTCATTCTCTTCGTCGTATTCAGGTACACCTATCAAACGTAAATTAGGTCTTTTCACATAGTCCCATATTTCTTGGAGACTTTGCTCATTCCTTTTTATCCTTTTTCTCTATTCTTGTCTTCTCATTTTATTTCATTAAGTAGGTCTTCGACCTCTGATATGCTTTCTTCTGCTTGATCAATTCAGCTATTCAAACTTGTGCATATTTTGCTAAGTTTTCGTGTTGTGTTTTTCAACTCCATTAGTTCATTTTTATTCCTCTCTATATTGTCTATTCTTGTTAGCATTTAGTCAAACCTTTTTTCAAAGTTCTTTGTTTCTTTACATTGGGTTAGAACAAGTTCTTTTAACTCCCAGAAGTTTCTTATCATCCACCTTCTGAAGCCTACTTCTGTTAATGGAACACAGTCCTTCTCCATCAGGGCTTGTTCTGTTGCTGATGAAGAACTGTTATCCCCTGTAGAGGAAGGGGGGTTCTGATTTTGGGTATTCTCAGCCTTTTTAGGCTGGTTTCTTCCCTTTGTTATAAATTTATCCATCTGTCATCTTTACGATTACGCCTTTCTAGTTGGGTTTCTGAGTGGACGTCCAGTTTATTGATTCCCAGAGCTGGAATCCGAGCAACCCACTGCACCGGCCAAAACAGCAGTGATAAGACTGATGGTGCTCTTCTGCCCGGGAATCTCCTCCTGTTTACTCTGCACGAAGAGCTGCCATGCCGAGTTGCCGGCAAAACTGCTGCGCCGGCCACAAGAGTCGTGCTGGTGACCCGTGGGGCTCCTCCATTGGGAATCTTATTGTCCGTGAGCGACGAAAATTCGTCTGAAAGTGTGGCGTCCTCTTGTTCTCTGCACTTTCACTGGGAGCTACAATCCTGAGCTGTTAGTGATCAGCCATCTTGGATCTTGTGTTTTAAATACTGCTTTTGGACTATCCAGGTGCTTTTGAGTTGATGTATTTTAATTATTTTTAGCCAAAAGAACCTATTAACCTTTTGCTGCATTTCAGTTGGTTTTTTAAAGGAGAGCAGTAAAGGGCTTGGGCAGCCTGAGGCTGGAAGTGCAGGCAATGTGAGCCAGTGACAGGGATGGTTGCCCTGCCCGGGGCTGTCACCCCTTCTCCATGCCTGCCCAGGCTACCTTGCTGGGGGAACAGTGACCCTTCAGGATGGGGAAGCCCCTGGCTGGCAAGCTGACAATTTCTGCCTGAGCAATTTGCACATCAAAGTTGTCAGCAGACTGCAAGCTTCCCGGCCATCTTTCATGTCCCTGGATGGAAACCAGCCTGCTCATCAGCAAAGAAAATGGCAGGCACGACCTCCTGGGAGCAAAGACCACCTGAAGGGCCTTGGTGAAGGAGAAGCACAAGAGGCTGTGTGCAAAATCCTCAGCAGAGGTTCTCCACCACCCAGCCCAGTGCAGGCAGGCACAGCATGGAGGCAGCTGGACTGGGCAAGCTCCGTGGAAGGTGCTCCCGTCTTCCATGAGAGGGAATGTAGCGCACCGTGCCCCCAGCACCTCCAGTCAGGAAGATGGAGACAAGACCACCCTTCTCCCAGCCCTCCCCAACCCCACTTCCCTTTTCCCACCCCAGTTCTCGGGATTTCTTATGGTGATCCTCCCTGGTGTGTTACCTTCCTTTTCAATATTTCACCCAGCACACACGCATCATAACAATCTTGCCCTAGGACAAAGTTTCATATAAAATTTTATTCCCTACTTAGTCCCTTAGTGATCACATAGGATTATAATATTTATGATTTAGACTTCAGATTTCCTATGTTCAGAATGGAGCTTCCCAAATAAATCGGGGCTGGTTATTTTCAGTTTCATCAAATATAACCTAAACCTGTTGTGTATACATGTACATGTCTTTCAGCTAAAAGGAAAAACACAAGGTACCTATAAGTCATTAGAAGAAAATATAGAAGAAAATGATTGTTCATTTGGGGTCGGAAAGGCCTTCTTAAAAAAAAAAACCACAGAATGCAAATATCAAAAAAAAAAGAGAAAAGTTTGACAGATTTGGCTAAGTCATAATTTAAATATTCTACACCACAGAAGATACCTTAATAAGTGACGAAACAAGAGAAACTGCATGCCACATGAATGAAATATGATCCCAAATACATATCAGCCTCCACGAAAAGTGACACCAAAAAGCAAAACAAAAACCAGCCAAGAGGCGGGTGTGGTGGTTCACACCTGTAATCCAGGCACTTTGGGAGGCAAGGCAGGTGGATCAATTGAGGTCAGGGGTTTGAGGCAAACCTCGACAACATGACAAAACTCCTGTCTCCACTAAAACTACACAAATTAGCCCTGTAATCCCAACTACTCTGGAGGCTGCGGCAGGAGAATCACTTGAACCTGGGAGAAGGTTGAAATAAGCCAAGATCTCGCCCCTGCACTGCAGCCTGAGTTTCAGAGCACGACTGTTTAAAAAATTTTGAAAATAAAATTCCAACCCCCCACTGCCATCCTTAAGAAAAAAAACCAAACGAGACATGGATATAAATAAGAAATGTATAAAAACAGGAAATTTGCTGGGCAAGGTGGCTCACACCTGTAATCCCAGCACTTTGGGAGGCCGAGGCGGGTGGATCACGAGGTCAAGAGATCAAGTCCATCCTGGTCAACATGGTGAAACCCCACCTCTACTAAAAATACAAAAAGTTAGCTGGGCATGGTGGCTCGTGCCTGTAATCCCAGCTACTCGGGAGGCTGAGGCAGGAGAATTGCCTGATCCCAGGAGGCGGAGGTTGCGGTGAGCCGAGATCGCGCCATTGCACTCCAGCCTGGTAACAAGAGCGAAACTCCGTCTCAAAAAAAAAAAAAAAAAAAAAAAAACAGGAAATTAAAATGGTTGAGAAACGTGAAAAGATGCTCAGCCTCAAAACAACTGGGAAAATGATAATTAAAACAAGATACAATTTTCTATGGGGAAGGGCCTCTCTCGCCCCCAGCTGGTGGTTGGGCACATGCAGAACTTTGAAAAGGGCGCAATAAAACACACATTCTCTTAAATCCGGCAGATCTCATTTCTGCACTCCTATATTAAAAGACATCCATTTGTGTATACAATTCGGTAGGTACAAGGATCATCATTACTGGCAAATCGTAAAAACTGAGACCATCTGAATATTTAGTCCATGAAAAAATGGTTAAATGAACCATGGTACACTTCTGCTGAGGAATACTACACAGCAATGAAAAAGAACAAAGCAGGTGCCAACAGCTCTCCCAAAAACACAATGAATGAGTGAATGGGACTCTGTGTCCCATGGGGTCCTGTGCAAACAGGAAGGAAGAACATATTAAAAAGATATTTCTATGTCAGGCGTGGTGGCTCACGCCTATAATCCCGCACTCTGGGAGGCCAAGGCAGGTGGATCACCTGAGGTTCGGAGTTCGAGACCAGCCTGACCAACATGAAGAAACCCTGTCTCTACTAAAACATATAAAATCAGCTGAGTGTGATGGCACATGCCTATAACCCCAGCTATTCAGGAGGCTGAGGCAGGAGAATCACTTGAACCCAGGAGGTGGAGGTTGCAGTGAACCAAGATCATGCCATTGCACTCCAGCCTGGGCAACAAAAGTAAACCTCTGTCTCAAAAAATAAATAAATAAAAGATATTTCTAGAAGGATGTACAAGTAGCTGGTCTGAGGGACTGTCCTCGGCAAAGGTAAAGTCACTTTTCCTCTGAGAGCTTTCTACAATGTTTAAATTTTCCCCCCCATTTGTGTATTACTTTTATAGCTGTCAAAAGAAAATAAAACTAATATTTAAATTCTTTAAAAAGCTCTCTAGGGACATATTTTAAGTAAAGAAACTGACGGACCACCTGTACAAGGCACCGTTTAGGTAAAAGAACACACAGAAACTATATTCTTGTTTTTATGTACGTACGTAAATTCATGGCCACACCCCTGCCATGAAGGATGCCCACCTGCCAATGGGTTCTTCTGGAAAGAAGCGAATTGTAAAGAGATCATGTGACAGACTACTCATGGGGAACTCATAAGTTTTAAATCTTACCTTTGAAAAATAAAGTGAAAGTTTGTTACAATAAGAGAGTGCACATCTATTGCAATGAAAAGAAGGAAGTGACATGAAAAATCCTGGCATATTTTATTGTTTCATTCTCTACTTTATATGCACTTAGGTTTATTCAAATATCATACTTTTGGACCATAGGAATGTGTTTTATTTAGCAAGTGATTTTTTTATTCTTTAGCCACAATTCTCCCACATTTTTACATAATCACAATTTTTCCATATTTTTTAAACATTAGATACACAATTCGTTAGAAGTTAAAAGGGAAAAATTCTTTTTGCTGAATAATATCACATTATGTTTAATTTAAAGATTAACTTTTTGAATATCAAAAATTGAAGCTGCTGGGAATCACATTTATTTGTAGGTCCCAAAATGGCCCTGAGGTCTGAATAGGAAAATATCTTTTATAAACTCTAACAAAACTCTCACCTCAAAATAAAACACTATGAGATTTACACAGTTGTATCTGTTCTCAGCATCTTTACAATATCCAGAAACCTACTGGACTTTTAGAAGTGACAATGCAAATGGGTTTACATTCAGAGGAGAGCTTATCCTAAGAGGACCTAACGTGAAACCTGGCACCCTGCGCAGGAATCTGTTCGATCCTTAGAATGGTCATGAAGTCATCTTTGTTAAAAGCACAGGTCCTTGGACACCCCCAAACGCCCGGCAGAATGAAGCGAGTTCCAGCACATGGGCTTTTCCTGTTCATCTGAAGGGGTATAATTGCTGGTCATGTTTCTGGGCCTGTCACCACCTTTTGCAGTTGTCAACGGGTGTATCTATAGCTGTGCAGTTCTAAAACAGCTTCTAGAACTTTTGCTTAAAAACTGCTGTTAAGGTGCCTCCACACCTATGTCCCAAAACTTCCATAAAGCATCAGGCCAATGTGGACCATTGCTTTACCTGATGGATAGCTTCGTTTGTTCTCCTTTTTATTAAAAACAGAAGGATGTAATATTATGACAAAAGTATTTCCCTCAAAAACCAAACTGTGTTAGCACTGATTCGAGTATCTGATATGTGGGCAGACCTGGGAAAATACCAGGGCTTCCTCAGGGAGATGTTGATTCTGAGGGTAACCCGCAGCCACATGCCGAGGGCTGAATGCCTGGGGAGCTCTTTCAGAGGGGAAAGAACCCTCCTGGGTCTGGGGCCCTTGGATCTGAGTGCCTCCATGCGGCCAAGGCATTCTAGATGAGCCTCCTGGGTCAACACCGCCTTTTAAAAAAGACCTGTGTTATGACAACTCCAGCTGTGTTCTGTGCCACGGTGGGCAGGGTGCTCACAGTGGGTCCTGGGACCTTGCAAGACCCCACAAGTCCACTGAACAGCACGCCATCAAAGCAGGTCCCATCTGCCCCTGCCCGGGGCCCACAGCCAAGCCACGGCAGCATCATCACCTTTGCCAGCACGAAGCCCGAGTGTCCTTTCAGTTCATTGCACACGTGGGCTTGCCTGCGCACACACTCACACCTTAGTGTAGGCATCCACATTGGCACTGCCTGCTGCCGAGGGCTGTGCCTTTTATCAAGTCTTATTTTGGGCTGGGTCAGCATGAGGAAACCGTGCATGCAACACCGGCCTTCAAGCGAGTCACTTGAAAATTAGTCACAACAACCCAGGTAGTGTGTGTATCTTTCTTTATCCCGTTTTTTTCAAAAACAGCCTCCAGAGGAGTTTTTTTAGCCACTTATTTAAAATGTTAATGAAGGAACCCGTGAGTGCAAGGGCACAGAAAGCAGCTGACTCGAGTCACACTGACGCAGAAGCAAGTCCCAAATGTGCACTGGGAGGCACGGGGGTGGGGGGAGACACAAGCCACGCCGTGGCAGGAACCGCTCTTGTCAGCTCTCGGCAGGCAGCTCCTGGCACGCCTGCTGCACTGGCATCCGCCCCACTGCAGCTGTCGTCCTCCATGTGACTTTGTTGTTTCAGACGGATCTGTCGTGTCTGGGGTCCTCCCTGTCCTTCCCCAGACTGTGGCCCTCCAGGCAGGTGCCGACAGAAAGGGGCTGCAGTAGAAGCCAAGAACCAGGCCGAAAGAAACAGGCCCCCCGGTGGCTTCCGAGGGGGACTACCGACTGCCAGGTGCAGAATCTACGCAGCTACCCACCGTGGGAGGCGGAGGGACCTGTGCAAATCCCCCGGGAGTATGTTAGAATTTCCCCAAATACTGTGAAAGGGAAAAAGTGCTTGCGCTGTAGCATGTGAAAGACCAGTGGTGTCTGGGAGCTGACACAGCACAGGGGGACTGACGACTGCAGGAACAGCGAGCTGTGTGAGCAGGCCTGAGTCTCTGGGTGCATCTGGGGAGAGAGTAACACAGGGCGCACATCAGGGCTGCGACTCACTCCGCAAAGCAGGCGTGGCTCCCCAGGGTAAGGATGGACAGACAGCCTTCCTGCGTCATGTAGTGTGGACGGTGGGCTGGGGGCAGTGTAGTGTTCTTGCAGGAGGGCTACCAGGAGCATGTTAGGCCCACTTCTTAAGGCCCATTCATTTTCTCTCTGGGATGCATTTCATCATAATTGCTTGGTACCCACGATTCTTCCCAACAGCCTTGAAAGCAGCAGGCTTTGCATCCTTTTCAGGCCTGAGGTCTGGCCCTACCCCCGGGGCTTCTCTTTCACTCACAGCAGCCTCTTCTCCACTCCAGAAACCTGGTCACTGCAGACAGCAGGGAGAGAAGTGGGCAGAGGGGCCCAGCACAGACCCTCTTCCTGCATCCATAAATCCTGTTTTCCAATTGACATCACGAACTTCCTCTCTCCTACTCCCAGGAGGAGCCTCTTGTCTCAGGAGTGGCCATGCTGAGATGACGAAGCCACTGCAATTCTGATCTCCATAGTCCTGAGGTCCCCAGTACTGCCAGGAGTCTGGAGCTTGAGGAAGAAAGAAGCCCACGACATTTCCCACTGCGTTTTCCAAGCGCAGCCAAGGGACAGCCTCTGAACACCAAGGTAATTCCAGATGAGCGGCTCCACACCATGCCCTCCTCCCTTCTGGTGAGTTCAGTGCTGGGCTGACTGTAGAACACTTTATTCACAGAAGCAAGTAGAAAAAAATGGTCACTGTTAGTTCACGTGCTCCAACGTCAGACCGGAGCGGCCAGTTCTGGAGGGAAGAGTGAGAAGTGGCCCGTCTGTTCTCATCAGCCGCCTCCACACACATGGAGGTGGATTTCACTGTTGACACATACGTTCCATCCACAAGAGGCAACTCAGAGGGAATGAAGCGACTTCACGCCCACCCCAAAGCCATTTCCGCTGCCAGAGTCCCAGATCTCTAGTTACCAAGGAAGTCTCCCTCAAGGGGTGAGCTCCAGGCATCTCAGTTGTAATCAGCAGCATAGACATTGTCTGAGAAATATTTCTTCTGTCTAGTTAAAGTATAATTTACTCAAACACTAAAAAGTAGTAAAATAGACTTCAACTTTTCCTCTAACTACATTTATATATAAATCCCTGAGAAGGTACCTGTCAACTTGAAATTCACTATCTACAGTTAATAAACATCAGGGAGCCCCATCCCTGTGCGCAGCAGGGTATGGGCTGACTCTCCCTTCCCAGCAAAGAGGAGGGGCTGTGTAGTAATTCTAAGCCATCAGCACAGACACTGGCTGGCCGGCCGTTCATTCACTCTGGGGTCAAGGAGGTCCCACCATGGTAACCCCACAGGGACACCACACTGCCTCACAGAGGTCCTGGCGTTTCTGTCCTTGGTAGACCTCAGGGTAGGTGGTGCCAGGGACGATCAAGAACTTAACCAACTGGGAGAAGAAAACAGGCAAAGGAAGGAAAAGCGAATAAGGAAGAAGAGACGAGATGACGGGGGCGGGAGAATGTGGTGACAGTGCCAGAGGGGGCCCTGCGGTGGCCACTGACAGGAGAGGAGAAGAGGTCAGTGCCCATAGGTCCCCTCCTTCCTGAACCACATGGTGGGTGCAGGGAGGACGAGTCCTCAGTGAGCGAATGCAGCTGTTCAAAGCGCTGAAAATAGACACACAGGAAAAATGTTCTCCAAGGACACCAGGTTTTTGGAGTGGCCACTGGGAGGCCCCTGACTGCCAGATGCCGATGGTGCTGAGTGGGGAAGGGACGAGAAGCCTGTACCCTCCAGCCCCATCTACATCCTAAGACTGAGGGGCCCATGTTACCAGTACCTAGAGCTAGAAGAAAGGGCTTCCAAATGGCTCAGGAAGATGAGGGGGCGTTTCTCTCCACCTCTGGGACCAGATGACCACACCTCCCGTGAGGAATCCCTTACCCAAAAGAAGTGAACATAATAATGTTGCTTAAGTATAAACTGGCCCATCAGATCACCCTGACACTGACCCCACAACACCCCTTCAAGGTGGCTCCGTTTCCCCATCGTCTGAGCTTCCCTCCATGGCCTCCTGTACTCCCTGAGCCTGACTGGGGGCCCGCTTGTCCCCTCTGATGCTTACTCCAAAGAGAATGAGGAAACAAGAGCAGAAGCCCCCCACCCCCACAGGTGGAGGAAAGAGGCTTGGTGACATGTTCCTTGACTTGGAAAATTCCTTTCCTAGCAAATCAGCTTCTACATGGCAAAAAGGAGGAGTGCTGGGCCAGCAGCCACGAGCACAGCCACAGAAGCTGCCTGGACTTGCCTCATGCGCCAGAGGGAAGGGCTGACCACAGACAGAGCATGGCTAGAACGAGTCTAGGGAGAGGGACCCGGGAGTCTCCAACTCATTCAGGAATGACCCTTCTTTCAGTTGGGTCTGGTGGGTTTTCAAAATCCAATCTTCCCACTGAGGCCACACCAAAGCTGCCTGGGAGGTGAGGCTTCCCAGTCCCACCAGAGCCCCCCACAAAGCTGTCATATTCCCTTGAGTTGCAAACACTGGCCAGGTAACAGCAGCTTCCCCTCACCAGGCGAGTGGCCAGCTCGCCTTCAGATTTGCCAAAAGAATCCATGTCCTGCCCCACGCTTGCTGGCTCGGGAGGGTTTTCAAAATGCAGGTATCTCTAGAGCTGTTTTGTGGACGCCAAGATCATGACCGGACAAGCCCTGTGCTGGCCCCAGGGTCTCCTGTGCACCTGGACCAGGCTGGAACACACCAGGGACAGGGCCGCAACATGTCCACTCCAGAACAGCGTGGGACCTAGGGAAATTGCCAGTTGACTGCTGTCCCTGGAGACTCTGAGCATGGGTTGTGGTGAGGTAGCTGGGCAGGACCAGAAATGTCCATTTTTGATGTGGAAGCAGCAGACACCCAGGCTTAGGGTAGAAGTGGGGGCTCCATACCGTTCCCAGTGCCAACTTCCCACGGTGGAAATGGGCAGGATGCCTGGCAACCCTGCAAGGGTCAGACGCCACATCAGTCCACACAGAAGCTGCCTGACCCTGGCTGTTCCCATGACAATGAGACATTCTTGGGAAGGCGAAGCCCTTTGTGGGAGCTCGGGATGGGTGTCCTCCCCTCACAATCACAGTGTTAGCACTGCAGTTCTCCATGCAGGCTGAGTGCAATCTGCAGAGCTTCGGGACAGGCCCAGGGCTCAGCTCCCCTAACCAATGCTTTGAGAACTTTCACAGCAGGGGTAGCTGGTGTCGAGAAGCGTGCCTGGGAGACCACATGGTCCTGCCTGGTGGGGTCCTCAGTTGACAGAGGTAAGGGTGGGGCTCCTCGTGACTTGGTAATGCTGTGAATTATGTACATGTGGCAGGAAGGTGCCACAATGCCAGAGGATTCAGCAAAGACAACCCCCAAAGATAACCGGCGTCAGTCACAGTCCCCACCTGCTCGGAGGGGACATGGCCAATCCCAACTCCTTGGCCACAAGGGTGACCCACAATCAGCTAATATCTGCAGTTCTCAAAGAGGGTCTGGTCCCCTGTGCATTAATCACAGTGCCTTTTGGGATCATGCAAGAAATCTGATCTTAAACACTGTATCATCATCATACCAATCTCCCATTAGCCTGGGTGCAGCCTGCAGTCCTATTCAGTGGAGCTTTTGGAGGGGCCAGTTTAAGATTCCTGGTTGCTCGATGCCTGATGGTGCCTGGAGGAAGGGAGCCTGGAGAAGCCTGCGCCAGCCCTGGCTGTGTCCTGAGACAGAAACCCCGTATCACGACATACCTAGAGTTATTAGGTGTCATAGTACAGAGACTCCAAACAGGCCTGTGAGCGTGTGCGCCCAAGTATTTAAATTAATACTGAAATAAAGTGCATATGTGACAGACACTCTACAACCCACATGGTGAGAGTCATTACAATTAGAAACTCCTGCCTGAGCTTCCAGCTTTCATACCCTGTCCTGCCAAATTAGAATGCTGCAAATCTGATAATGATTAAAAATACAAAATTATGCAGAAAACACGCTTTGATAAATTCTAATTGGATCACTGAGAAAAGTGATCTCCATGTCACTTTGGAGATAAAAGTGTGGACATAAAACTCTCATCGCGGCCCAAGGCAAATCACACCAATGTCCTGCCCTGCCCAAGGCTCCATGTCTTGGAAATTCTATGAGGTTAGCACGAGGATGAACTAAATACCAAGTGCAGTTCTCAAAGGAAAAATAAAAGAAATAACCACACGAGGGACTCTTCGGAACTGAGTCTGGAGGGGCTCCCCAGTCCACTCCAGGAGAATTTGCGGAAAACAAGTTTACTTCCTATTCCATTCATACCGCCTGTTTAAAAACCACCTCCTCCCCATTCCTGTAATTTGCATCGCTCTGGGCTCCTGACTCTGTTGCATCTTTCTTACATTCTAAGGATATCTGGATTCGATTTACTTAAGAGCACATATGGCTTAATTTTGTATTTCTGATCATCATTTACTAAATTTGCCCCCATTTTATCAAATGATGGTTTTTTCTCCTATTTTTAATAAGTTAAAGCTTTTTTTTTATCCAGCTTATCTAAAATCCCTAGCTTAAAATGAGTTTAATTCTAGCAATAAATACATGTTTATCTCTGAATTCTTTTATAATTTGACAATATATGCTTTTCCCCAATATATTACTGTATTAAGAGTTTTTAAAAGGTACAATAACATCTGATCTCTCTGTTTCACTGGATCATGCCCGAATGAGTCAATGCCTCCATCAAACAGAATATCTGGTATCACTTCATCTAATTAAAAAGAACATTCAGTGTGCACATGCACCCATGATGAGAAGAAAACACCAAAGCAAACGGCCAAAAAAAAGGAGAATCCCAGGATTTCTGTGTGAACCCATACAGATACCATAAATATTTATCGCTAGAAACAGTATTTCAAACAAAAGGTCTTCGGGCAAGTATTAAAACTGCCTTGGATACAAGGGGCCCTATCACTTGTAAAACGCTGCAAATTTGATAAATAATGATTAAAAATACAAAATTACGCAGAAAATGCCCTTTGATAAATTGATCTTTAAAAAAAAATCTTAATTGAGGTTCTCTAAAAGGAGCCTTCTAGGCAACATGCCCGCTAGGTGTACTGATTGCTGGGGGGCTGGTGACAGGCGAATCGATGTGGCTCCCTCAGCCCCCTCCTGGGAGCAGCCTGGACAGACAGCCTGGAAACGTGCGCGGCCCCGTGGTCCTGGTAACAGCAGTGGCACGACACGCAGCGGAGCCGCCTCCTCCTCCGCACCCAGCCCCGCGGCCTCGCCGTGGCCCTGGACCCCGCGCCAGGCACACAGGCCCTCACGTCCTCTTCTTCCAGGGCGGCGGGCGCTTCTCCTTCTGTGCATCGGCCTGGCGCTTCTTCTCGGCCTCCTCTGCCTTGCGCTTCTCCTCCTTGGCCTCCTTGTACCGCCACTTGGGGATCTGCAGGTGGCCGCTGTCCTTGGTGCTGCCCTTCCGCGCCGGCCTCTCGGGCTGAAAGGTGGGCGCGGGTGCCTTGGAGACGCGTACCCGGGGCACCACCACGCCGGGCCGCACGCTGCTCCGCCGCAGGCGCTGCAAGGGCAGGAGGCTGGACTTCCGCGGGGCGGGCGCGGCGGGGCCCCGGGTCCCAGGTGGCGGGGCGGGCGGGAGGCTGGCTCTCGGGGAGCCCTCCTGGGAGCCTGCGTCTGCCGGGCAGGTCCGCCCGCGCTGCCCCGTACCCCCCGCCGCCTCCGCCTCATGCGCCCGGGGCCCCCGCGCCGCCAGGATCTCCTGCACCGCCAGCCGCCGCTTCCCCACACAAGGGGGGCTCTCGGGACACACGGTCTGGCACACGATGGCTACGGCGGGGCTGTAGAGGCTGGTGGTCATCCTCACCATGTGGTCCAGGGCACCCCCGTCCTCCGGGCCCCGCACAGAGCGGGGCGTGAGCGCGGACAGGACGCAGTCCGTGAGCCTCTGCAGGCAGTTCTTGGAGCCCGCCGGCTTCCTCGCAGCCTCAGGGGGCGGCGGCAGCTCCGGCCGGTACTTTTCCCCAAACTGCTCCGGGCAGGGGCGCTCCAGCAACCTCTGCATGAGGCGAACGGCATCCACGCGGCCCGTGTAAGTGGCCCATTCTTGCGGTGACATTCCACGGCGGGGGTCCCTCGCGTGGACATCCGCCCCTGCAAAACACAAAACACAAACAGGAGTGGGTGGCGGCAACCAGTACTCTTCCCCCTCAAGGCAGAGCCTGGGGCAAAGGCAAAACTGTCCCCACACCTCCTAACAGACTCCACCCTAGACCCAGCCACTCCGTGAACCCCGTGTACATCTGAGCGCCCGAAGATGGGCCTGGAGTGCAGTGGTGGGAACACAGCCCACTGCAGGCTCGACCTCCCGGGCTCAAGCGATCCTCCCAAGTCAGCCTCCCGAGTAGCTGGGACTACACCACCACCCAGCCAATTTTCTGTAGAGATGGGGTCTTGCTATGTTGCCCAGGCTGGTTTCGAACTCCTGGGCTCGAGCAATCTTCCCGCCTCCACCTCCCAAAGTGCTGGGATTACAGGCATGAGCCACCATGCCCCGCCCAACCTGCCTTTTAAGTGCTCCGTTTCATTATCTGTCCTGAATAAAACCCCACCTGAATTCAGCACGTAAACTGCAGAATGTTTGAAGAAATAAGACCCTATAGCCGTCCGTCAATGGAGAGATGACTGGACAACAAAGGGGCCTTGGATACTTGAATGCTGCGCCTAGAATGTTCTAAAACTACGACCAGTAACAGTCACTCGCAAAGTGGTCGGCGCCCCAGTTGTGGCCTCACTCTGAGGACTGCCATGGGTTCTGGACTGTGGGAAATGGGTGTCCTTTGCTTCTCCCACTGAGGCCTAGCTGGCCCGGTTCTGTCCACGTCTAGCAGATGGTGGCTTTTCCGGGACAGAAAAATTCATTTTTGTTTGCCCAATACATCTCATGCTGGTCGGTAGGGGGCGTGAATTTTTAAAACACTTGTTGCAAAATGAATGGCAGTCACAGTGGCTATGGGACCTGCCTGGGACCACCAAGCTGGTAACAGAGAGAGGGTCTAAGACTTGGGGTTTCCTGATCTCAGTCTAAAGGACTTCCTACCACCTGCTGGCAGGGCTGCTGTGATGGTTAGTTTTAGTTTTCTATGTCGACTTGGCTAGGCTAGAATACCAGTGATTTAATCAAACATGGATCTAGGTGTTGCCCCAAAGGTATTGTGCAGCTGTGGTTAACATCTATAATCAGTTGACTACGTCAAGGAGATTATCCTTCATAATGTGGGTGGGCCTCACCCAATCAATTGAGGGCCTTCAGAACAAAGAGCGAGGTTTCCTGTAGAAAAAGAAATTCCGCCTCAAGACTGTAGCATCTACTTACTCCTGCCTGAGTTTCCAGCTCTCACGCCTACCGCACCAACTTCAGACTCACCAACCCCCACAATCATACAAGCCAATTCCTTAAAATAAATCTCTTGATATCCACATCCTATTGGTTGACTAACATGCCCCTTACACAGTCTCCCCAGTCACTCTCTTAATAAATCTCCCCAGACCACCCACTGCCCCCAAATATTGCAAAATTAAACTTGAACTCAACTTGATGAAATTGCGTAAATTTCAACATTGCAGTATGGAAATTAATCTGGAATTGCTGTTCAATTAACCTTGGTCTAATCTCAGTCCCACATACTGTTAAAAATCATTGAGGGGCCGGGTGCGGTGGCTAACACTTGTAATTCCAGCACTTTGGGAGGCCGAGGTGGGCAGATCACCTGAGGTCAGGAGTTCAAGACGAGCCTAGCCAAGATGGTGAAACCCCATCTCTACTAAAAACACAAAAAAATTAGCTGGGTGTGGTGGTGGGTGCCTGTAATCCCAACTACTCAGGAGGCTGAGACAGGAGAACTGCTTGAACCCAGGAGGCGGAGGTTGCAGTGAGCTGAGATTGTGCCACTGCACTCCAGCCTGGGTGACAGAGTGAAACTCCATCTCAAAAAAAAAAAAAAAAAAATCATTGATGATTTCAAGTCCCATTAGTCAGATCTCCACAGGCAAAGCAACATGGAGAACTAGGGCAGTTAGCTGGTCTGAGTCTCTCCAGGCCTGACGGGTGCTTCTTCATTTACATCCCACACTCCCACACAGACCCAGGTGTCTGACAAGAGATGGCTATCAATATGTGCCGAAGTGAGGGGTCCCCAGCCGCTGCCCTGCCCTGCCGCCTGCAGTGGTATCACGGCTCTGGCAGACCTAGCTCACCTGAGCTTGTCTGGTAAGGATCTTAACTCCGTGACACATTAAAGAATAGCTGTATTAGAAGAGTGGTAATTATTTGGAACTGGAGATCAGGATGGAACTCATTAGCTAGAGTACAATTTATAAACTGACTAAAATGAAAAGGGGGCAGTAAAAGTGTCATTGCAAAAAATAGATGACACATTAAACCTTAATTAATTGCATGTCACTTAAAAAAGGAACAAACTGCAAAATTAAAATCTTAATGAACAGTGCCTGAAAGAGACATTTTTCAAATTAATGGAAAACTAGAGGGAAAGCTATCCAAAGTTTTGTACTCTTCGTCCTGATGTTCACCTACCTTTTCTGATCTCAGAAAATACAAACACTCTAAGGAACAAAGGCCATTGAGCCCTAGAATCTGAGTTATGCTATAAATTGGGGATCTGCTGCCTTGGAAATGAGTGTGAAGGGGCACATGAATGACCTGAAGACAGTGGTTAAACTACAAAAGACAAGTACTGATGATGAGCATTATACAAACACCTTCCAGAGAACACAGAGGATTTCTGAAACACCACTGTATCCATCTTCTCCCCAGGAGAGCCCCAGCATTCTCACCTACCACCCGTTGTTGTTTGCTCAGGTGGACATGAGTGGGGCTGCTGACCACGGGTCCATTTGCTGCATTGCTGCGTGCTCTAAGTCTACACAAAATCCTCTGTTTCACTTGAGGCAGCAACATTCCCGGTTCTTAGCAATGCATCACGATCAGTCTAACCCAGGACTTCTGGACCTCAGCACTACTGACATATTGGGCCAGGTGATCATTTGGTGTGGGCTGTCCTGCGCACTGGAGAATGTTTAACAGCATCCCTGATCCCTACCTTCTTCTAGATGCCAGTGGCACTCTGCCAGTTCTGACAACCAAAAATGTCTCCAGATACACGTCTCCAAATGTCCCCTGGGGCAGCATTACCTCCAGCTGAGAATCACTAGTCGATTCCAATGGCTGCAATCCTGTACCCCATTTTCCCAGCCTCCCTTAGGACTAAAAGTAGCCAAGCAACCCAGCACTGGTCACTGAGACCTAAAGAGGGTTTTGCCTTGTGATGAAAGGGGCTAGCGTGGTTGGTGCTGCTGCAGCTTCCTGTCTGAAACAAGGGTCGGGTGATTCTCACGGAATCAAGTGGTGACAGATCAACAGGCTAAGGGGAGCCGAATGGACAGGAGGAAGCCACTGGGATCTGTTGTCCTCATGGAGTCTAGGGCCAGCTCTGAGGGTGACTGCCAACCTCAGAGGTCTAGGGAGCTGAGAAATGCAGCCTGTTTTCTTTAAGCCACAGCTAGTCAGGATTTCTGTTACTTGCAGTCAAAAGCATTCCAAACAGATGTTAATGAGAAAAAAATGGATACTGTCCATCACTCATTCTCAGGAATGCTTTCCCCAGGGGGGCCATGGCCAGACCCAGGACTAGCAGGAGGTGGGTGGAGTGTGAAGCTCTGAATGTGTCACTTCCTTTCCTGTTTCTCCACCAGCCCCCACCCAGCCCCTTGTTATCCACCCTACAAACCCCAGCTTAGTTCTCCCTCTTGCCAGGGGGCCTTTCCTGGCCACAGGGGAACACTGTAGACCAGCCCTCACTGCCTCCTCTTGTGTCACCTCCAGCCTGTATCTTGGGCACTGTGGATATAATTGGGATGACAAATCTGGATGCAGGGTCCCAAGAAATAGCTTGTGCTCCAGCCCAGCAGTGAGGACAGCCAACCCCGCCACACAGCTGGTGGGAAGTGTGCTCGAAGTTCTCATCTCCCCTCAAAGAGGGACTGGAGCTGGAGGATAAACTTCCCAGCATCTCTGCAATATCTTTTCCTCATATTGGAGGGTCCAGGGGCTCTGAGTTTCCAGCTGCCGGCACAGGAAACCTGCTCATTGGTGCAAATTTCTCAGCTTCCATTCTTCCCAATCTCACCTCCCAACCCCTCACTCTACTTCCTGGGGCCTCCTTCCCGCAAAACTACTTGCCCCCAAGTCCTTGTCTCAGGGTTTGCTTTTCGGGTGACACAGAATGCTTGACTTTTTATCCTTTCCTGGCTAATGACTTCAAACAATTCTACATGACAAATTCACACTTAAAAGGAACTCTGTTTTCCTCACAAATAGAAAGAAACCTCTATCTGGTTGGAAATCATCTGGCTTTCCAGAAGGAGATATCGGGGTTTGCCTAAGACAAAAGCAACCCTCCCCTCCAGTGGGAGCACCTCTGATCTCTGTTCCTGGCTGTCCTTTAAATCCACTTCGCTCCTTAAAATCACTGCAGGATTTGAGGTTACTGCTGCTTGATTTTGCTCCCTGAAGGCTGCAGCAGTTACCAGGCGAGCTCTCTTAAGCAAGCCTGGAACCTGCCAACCTCCACAAATTCTGCCTCTCTTCAGAAAAAAAAATAATATCCTCAATATGCTTCTTAGAGCCACCTATTTAAATAGACCTGTCACTGTGGGGCATTCATATTTCAATGAATTGACAAGATTCTGCAGTTCCCCTCATGATGCTCTTCAGCAGAGCCTGTGTTATTTCTTACAAAGCCAAAACCAGAGATGCAATCAATCAGCTTCTCATAACCTGGTTATACTTTTTATCAAAATCTGAAGTGCCAATCTAAAAGAAGGCTCGGGCTATTAGTTTCTTTAAATGGTTTAATTTTTCTTAATAGCAGACATTTAAATGGAAAGTATAAGAGTTAACATATTTGTGCGAATTTAAAAAATATGTCAAGAGCTGTCCTTGCTGCTGTCCACTAATCCCAGGGAAGCAATTCGACACTTTTTTTTAATACTCATACACCTACTTTAAAAGGAAAATAAAACCCACTTTTCCTGGGAGAACTATAAACTCACCTAGTACTAAGAGTAGAAGATGAAACTATTCTAGAAGTTAAACACTACAACCAAAGCCTAAGTGGGCAGCTCAAAAGCTCCCTAAAAAAAAAGTCCCTTTTTTGTTTTTGAGACAGAGTCTTACTCTGTTGCCCAGGCTGGAGTGCAGTGGCGCCATCTCGGCTCACTGCAACCTCTGCCTCCCAGGTTCAAGCAATTCTCTTGCCTCAGCCTCCCAAATAGCTACAGGTGTGTGCTACTATGCCCAGCTAAATGTTTTGTATTTTTAGTAGAAATGGGGCTTCAACATGCTGGCCAGGCTGGTCTCAAACTCCTGTCTTCAGGTGATCCACCCACTTCAACCTCCCAAAGTGCTGGGATTACAGGTGTGAGCCACTGTGCCTGGCCAAGATGTCACATTTTATTTGAGGGAGGAATACAGAGCAAGCAAGGAAGAATACACAGAGGGGAAAATGCCTCTTCTCTCTCTGTCCATCCTTTCCCATTTAAATTAGTTATGTCAGCGGTTCTCAATGGGAAGCAATTTTCCCCCCAACTTGGGAGACTTTTAGCAACATCTAGAGACGTTTTTGGTTGTCACAACTGGGAAGGTGCTACAGTCATCTTGTGGATAGAGACCAGGGAAGCCACTGAAAATCCTACAATTTGAGGCCAGGTGCCATGGCCCACGCCTGTAATCCTAATACTTTAGGAAGCCGAGGCGGGCGGATCACAAGGTCAGGAGATCAAGACCAGCCTGGCCAACATGGTGAAACCCTGTCTCTACTAAAAATACAAAAATTAGCCAGGCGTGGTGGCATGCCAGCTGTAATCCCAGCTACTTGGGAGGCTGAGGCAGGAGAATCACTTGAACCCGGGAGTCAGAGGCTGCAGTGAGCTGAGATTGTGCCACTGCGCTCCAGCCTGGCGACAGAGTGAGATTCTTGTCTCCAAAGGAAAAAAAATCCTACAATTTGAAAGCCCCACAACAAAGAATTAATTATCTAGCCTTGCATGTCAGCAGCGCTGAAATTAAGAAACCCCGGAGGTAGGGGCTTACTACCCTCATTAAGAAAGCTTAAGTATCTCATTCACAAGATATTTTTCAAAGGGAAAAATAAACCGCATTTTTTCATTCATTTAATGGATAACTGTTGAACACATAAACTCATCAATAATGATAACAATAATCACAACCAACACGGTGGGAAGGCTTCTCCAAGCCCAGTCTGCACCTGGGGTGGGGCTGTTCCGATGTGGCCTTGCTCAGTCCCCATCCCCACTTCCTGTGTAGGTGCTATCATTAGACTCACTTTATAGAAGAGGAACCGGAGGCCCAGTGAGGTGAGTGACCGGCTGCAGGTGCAGAGACGGAAAGTGGAGAAGATGGATTTGAAGCTGGGTCCTGGCTGCTGGGTTGTACTTCGTACAGGACAGGGAGAGACTCACTAGATGCAGACAATAATCTGTGGATTGTTCCAGACTGTGTTGGGGGATAGGGCTTGCAAATCGGGGAATAGGCAAGGGAGAGTATAAAATCAAATGCCAAGTTTGTATCCAAATAACTTATGGGAGAAAAGCAATGTCAGCAGCAAACCCACCGCCCTCTCAAGCAGGCTCATTGTTCTAAGAGATGTGTTAAGGTGTTTCTGGAATCCTCTAAATGCTGTCACACATACCTGAAACCCCCAGGAGACCCAGGGAAGAAAGCACAGCAGTCAAGCAGAGAGATTAGAGGGCAACTGACCAAAAAAGGTTTGTAGTTAACTCAAATTAACTCAATGGCAAAGTGCACTGATGTCACTGACATCATAAATGTTCAGTTGAAAAAGTAAATTACTAAAGGTCTACACTCAATTATAACTAGATCCAGAAATAGTAAAAGTGTCTGAAGCTCCCGCCAAACACAAAGCACCACCGCATAATCACCATTTAATTAGAAGGAACCAATTTCTCATTGATAAGGACAGGCAGGGCCGAAACTCTGTTGAAACTGATAATCTCCTTCTATAAAAATGAAACTATCATCTCTGAATCAAAAGTACAATTGATGGGACTCATTTTAATTATAATTTTTTTATTTCCAAGAAAGTTTCCATCTTTGAAGCCTCTATTCTCACTCACTGAACTTATTTTTTTATAGCATCCCCTAAGACTAAAGAATCCCCTAAGGTTAAACCAGAAGGGAAATAAATCTGAAGCAGCTGTGAATCCTCCAACTCCAGATTAATCTCGAGAAAATCAACAGATGGGCTCAGACCGGGCAGCACTGCACACTGGCTGGGATAAGACTGTCCCATCATGAACGACAGGTTATGACAGAAACTTCAGACCAAAGAAGACTGGGGGCAGGGTGCGGGGCCTGTAATCCCAACACTCAGGGAGGCTGAAGCGGGCGGATCACCTGAGGTCAGGAGTTTGAGTCTAGCCTGGCCAACATGATGAAACCCTATCTTTACTAAAAGTACAAAAATTAGCTGTGTGTGGTGGTGTGCGCCTGTGATCTCAGCTACTTGAGAGGGTGAGGCAGGCGAATTGCTTGATCCCAGGAGGTGGAGGTCGCAGTGAGCTGAGATCATGCCACTGCATGCCAGCCTGGGTGACAGAGTAAAACAGTGTCAAAATAAAAAAGAAGACTGGGACAACTAAGGAGAGGACAAATAAAATGTGGGAGCCCAGTAGGGGTCCCGGAACAGAAAAGGGACATTAGTGGAAGCACCGATGCTTGGGAAAACTCTGATGCCACCCTCAGGATAACCAAGGGCAGGGGGTGTGGGTTGCTGTGGTCTGAATGTTGACTGAATGCTGACGATCCTCCAAAATTCCTATGCTGGAACTTCAGACCCACTGGGATGGTATTAAGAGGTGAGGCCTTTAGGAGGTGATTGGATTGTGGGGCTCTGCCCTCCTGAATCATACTAGTGCCTTATGAGAGAGGCCTTGAGGGTGCCTCAGTGTCCCCTCTTCCATGAGAGGAGACAGCAAGAAGGAATGGGCGTCACCAGACACTGAACCTGCTGGCACCTTGATCCTGGATGACTCAGCGTCCTCAGATACAAGCAGTAAATTTCTACAGTTTACAAATTACCCAAGCGAGGTATTTTGTTATAGCAGCAGAACAACTAAGAGAGGAAATCCACTTCTTCAGGAACTTGCTGAGCCAAGCAGGACTGGCTGAACTCAGTGCCACGAAGAAAAATATATATAAAATAACAGAATTAAGGAACGGTGAAAGCAGTATCACACATTCACTGGGATGTAAGCTGCTAATTAAATCTAACACAACGTGTGCTTGACACACATTTTCTCATTTAATTCTCAACCCGATGAGGTTGCATGAAGGGTGATCATCGATTCTCTTTCAGAGAGAAGAAAAGAATGAAAGCTATTAGTTGTGTATCATTTAGTGCAGCAGCTCATTGAAGCTGGAGAGCCCTTAGGAGTGTATAAAGTATTGTCATATTTCGGCCTCAGGGAGGTGAAAGAGAAGAAAGAGGTCATTACTCCCATTTCACAGATGTGGACAGGAAAGTGCTTTCTCCAAGATGGTACAAAAGACGAAGGGGGGGTTGACCCAAGTTGACAGCCTGAGAACTTTCCACTCTATTATACAACAGAGAAAAAGGAAATTGCCACACTCATCACCAGAAATACCACATCACCTCCTAAAATCACCAAGCAACTCCATGTCACCTCCTAACGTCACCACACAACGCCATGTCACCCCCTAACATCACCACGCAACCCCACGTCACCTCCCAACGTCACCACGCCACCTCCCAGCGTCACCACGCAACCCCACGTCACCTCCCAACGTCACCACGCAACCCCGTCACCTCCCAACGTCACCACGCAACTTCACGTCACCTAACGTCACCATGCAATTCCACGTCACCTCTAACTGTTACTATGCAATGCCACCTGCCAGCAAGCAGGGAGCTTGGACTGCCTGGGCCATTCCCACAGTCCCTATGCCCCCGTTCAGCAGCACAGTATTGCCATTTACAGCCAACACATCACCCCTTTCTGAGGAGGAACACGACAGGGCTTGGAGAGTAGAATGGGTGGGCAGGAGGAAAATAGGGGGTGACGGCAGACGCCATCCACTGCCAAGCTCAGCAGGGAGCGGAAAGGGACATCCTGACAGGAACCAATGCAGTGACTTCTCTCTGTGATCCTGAAAGCACTTGCTTTTGGCTCTTTTTAAAACTCAGATAATGACAGCAGTGCGCCTCAGTGACGAACCTATTGCTTAGTGCAACAACTAGGCTTTGTTTCTATGAGTGATTACTCTCAAAACATATTCTGTAAAGGAGCAGCCCTGGCGCTCTGGGGCCCCCGCAGGCTGCACGGGACGGGGGACCTACCTGCCAGCATCAGGGCTCGGATGCAGTCGGTTCGACCCTGCATGGCGGCTTTCATCAGGGCGGTGAACCCGAACGCGTTCCTCCTTTCAAGGTCAAGACCGGGGAAATAGTTCAACAAGTAGTTGGTGATGATCGCGTGCCCTGTAAAGAGAAGCGTACATGTGTTTTGGTTCCCACTTCCACAAAACGTGCCGATCCAGCCAGGCCTTCCTAGAAAGAGAAAGAGACGCCAAGTCGGCCCTGGACCAGCCGGTCTGCTGTGTGAGTTTTCCTGGGACTCCAAGATAGAATTCTCTTGGAGCCCAGGAAACGGAGGAAAGCAGAGGGCGCTGCCCTGGCTGCAGCACTGCTGTTTGGGGTTCATGTGAGTCCCCTTCAGCAAAGAACTCGGGGGAGGAGCTGCCCCATCACAGTGCCAGGGTGGATGTGGGGCGCAGGAAGGTTGCCGGCAGGTTGGGAGCGCAGCCCCACGCACCAAATGCAGGCAGGAAGCCTCAACTGCCAGCAGGAGACGCCCATGCAAACAGATGGGAAAGCTGCAAATGAGCTTCAGAACCACTTCCAAGTGCTCTGGAGCTGCAGGGAGGAAAAAGTCATCGTCATAGCAATAGGACAGCGCCAGTTCCCACCCAGAAGCAGGAGTCTCTCTCTCTACCTGTGACCCGCTCCCGCCTGCAGTCTCTCTCTCTCTCTCTCTCTCTCTTCCCCTACCCCCACACACATCCCACAGAGTGTCGCAAACAAGGCCCTTGGCTATAAAGCAAAGTGGGTAAGGAGATTTCTTAGAGAACAAGATTTCTCCCCTTTGTCAACTTGTACTTCCAAAAAGGATCTGACTTTCTGCTCATTCATGGTGCTCTCGGTGAATGGTGAATAAGGAGAACATCAGAGCAACAGTGCTGTTTCCAGGATTCACCATGCAAAGCCAAAATGGTCTGGGAGAGCATCCCTTTGGGTCAACTGTCCATGCTGCCCGGCGCCAGCTAGCCCCTAAGTCCTTGTGTGAGTACACCCCACTCTCCCCCACTTCAGCGCCCTGGAGCAGGGTCCCAGCCTCAGCACAGTCGGCACGGTCAGCATCGGGGCGGTGCCTGACTCTTGGTTGTGGGGACTGCCCTGTGCACTGCAGGGCCGATCCCTGCTCTCTACCCATCAGATGCCAGTAGCAACCATCCCCACTCCTGCACAGGTTGTGACAATTAAAACTGTGTCCAGACACTGCCAGATCGCCATTGGTGGTGCAAGAACACCCCAGCTGAGAACCACTATCTCAGAGTGAAATCTGAGATTTCACTCCTCATGACCAACCACACCTGGTGGAAAGAGCGTCTCCCTTCCGCTGCACCCTCCCCTTAGCGGTCACCTCTGGCAGACCCCTGCTGATGAGTCTGAAGCCCTTGGGAATGTGAGCTGTCTGCCAGAGTCTCTCTCCCTGAATCCCAGGGGAGGTACAGGGTACCCAGTTCCCACCCTTTTTGTTTGAGAGATGGAGTCTCTCTCTGTCACCCAGACTGGAGTGCAGGAGCACGATCAGAGCTCACTGTAGTGTGGACCTCCTGGGTCAAGAGATCCTCCCTCCTGAGCCTCCCAAGTGGCTGGGCTCACAGTCAAGCACCATCACACCCAGCTAGTTCTTTTAAAAAAATTTTGTAGAGATGGGACCTCCCAGTGTTACCAAGGCTGGTCTCAAACTCCTCCATTCAAGCAGTCCTCCTGCCTCAGCCTCCCAAAGTGCTGGGATTACAGGTGTGAGCCACTGTGCTTAGACACAGGCCCCATTCTTAAGCACCGATGATGCAAAGCTCAGAAATCCCCATTCATTCATTCTGACTCAAGTATGTTCCTTCCAGCCCCAACTGTCAGGGCTTCGGGGGCCTCGTGGCCATTCCTATGCACTCCCTCCTTAACTTGGTATTACCTCCCCGCAGGAATCCCTGAATCATTGAGAATCTGGGCCCAGGGGCCCAGAATCCCCACTGGCATCTGGTTTGCATGGGAACTTCCAATGGGTGGCACTGCCTGAGATTTGGGGTGGGAGAGAGGCTGCAAGGACATAGCTCTGGTGTCGGGCAGCCATGAGACCTGAGTTGCCTCCCCAGCCCAGCCCACCTCCGCAGACTGAGAATACCAAGCCAGCCTGAGGCTGCAGCAGCTTCCAGAATTCCCCGCTGCGGCTCAGATCTCCAGCAGGCAGGGCTGGGCGCCCTTGGCCTCTGCTTCCCCAGCCCCTTCAGTTCAGTAAATCCAATATGAAACCCTCCAATCCATCAGGCGGCTCTGTCTCCCCAGCCACCCTCCGAGGGATAACACTGCTGGGGCTGGAACCCAGCTTCCTCCGTTGAGAGCCGCTTGCAGCTGCTGCCCCACCCATGTGATTTGCTGTGAATTTGTTCTTCATCAATCCAAGTGAGGAACCAACAGACAGCCACAATCAGGGGTGAACCCTCCTGCAGAGCATGGCGGCACCTTACCACTGACCTCAGCCCATCTCCTGAGCTCACCACACAGGTGAAAAGGGGAACATGTATCTTTTTGAAACAGAAGCCCTGATGAATATAACAGCATTAGGACCTTAACGAGCAGGAAACAAAGGGAGCGACCCCCTGGCTGTGCGACTCACAGACAGCCTCCGATGCTTTTCTGACTGGTTTACACCACATCGCCCTCCATCATCTTTTATAGGACGGGGGAGGGGTAAGGCCAGCAGTCAGGCACCCAGAGCTGCTGAATGACTCTCACCTGGGTGGTGCGGGAAGGTGGCAGCATCCTTTGATCTCAGTTTGCTTTAAGGTCCAGTTAAATGATTGACCGCACCTGTCAGTTAGATTTAGCCAGGGTCATAGTGAAACCAACTGCAATTCGTCTGGTCCCATTTTTTTAAACTATGAAATAGCGTGTCGGTCACAGTCTTCAGCAGGATGATCCTTTGCACTGATATATCCTAAGCACTTTGAACAGGTGGAAAGAAGAAAAACTGAAAGTCCACAAGGCAAACCGCCCATTATACACACCTGTTCTGCATGTTATGTTGAGATCACAAAGACCAACATGCAGCCCACTTGTTCTGACTCTTAGCCTGAGCTTCTGATGATCCCAGAAATCACACCCTGCTTCCCCCGGGCTTTCCCAGGATGGCAGAATGATACCTCTTATCACACAGATGACCCCATTCAATGGAAATCGAAGGTGGACCCAATACTTCTAAGAATATATAAATATTAACCTTTCTTCTTTAAAAACCATGATGACTAACCAAAGGGAATTTTCCTTAAATATATAAAAGGAAAACTTTTATATATTTGGTTACTCATCATGGCTTTTAAAGAAGAAAGGTTATATATATATATGAGATACACAGCCTTCCATGCACAAGGAAACCCAAACACGAGCCATATTGAAATCTGGTGTGAGGCCGCTCAACCACGGTGGCTCACTCCTGTAATCGCAGCACTTTGGGAGGCTGAGGCAGGCAGATCACTTGAGGCCACCAGCCTGGTCAACATGGTGAAACCCTGTCTCTACTAAAAATACAAAAATTAGCTGGGTATGATGGTGCATGCCTGTATTCCCAGCTACTCAGGAGGTTGAGGTGGGAGAATTGCCTGAACCTGGGAGGTGGAGGTTGCAGTGAGCCGAGATCACGCCACTGTACCCCAGCCTGAGTGACAGAGTGAGACCCTGTTTAGTTTGAGCCCAGTCCAAGTTGGACATTATGAATCAGGCTTGGTTTCTGAAATCCTCAGAGAAGCCCTTTTAAAGGGTAGGCTCACCTAGAGAACCCCGGGACACCCCCTCACCCACAATGAGCCCTACCCTGCTTAAGAGAGGATCACAAGTGCCCCAGGGAGGAAGTGCATTTGAATGAAATCGTGTCACTGGGACGCAGTGTAGACAATGAGCTCAGTAATGAAGAGAGCCAGCTCTGGGAACAGCCAGGTTCCAGGCCCAGGCCTGCCACTCAGAATCTGGGTGGCTTTTGGAAGTCAACTTTTCCACATCTGTAAGATGAGAGATAGTATCAACCTCCCAATTGTGAAAATTGCAGGAGATAATGTGTGTAAAACATGCCCAGCAGAATGGAAAAATCTCCTAGAAGAAAAATTCCAAGTAATCTAGCAGGCATTCCACTGTCAAGGAGCTAGAACATAGTTCCCCTCTCCTTAACCCGCGGGCTGTGGGCAATGACTTCCCGTCAAAGAGTATTACATGGAAACGGGAGGAGAGAGGCCTTCACAGTGGAGAAACCTACTAACATGACCTCATCCAGGTGACCAGGGCCAGCGTCATCAATGATGGGCAGCTTGGTAGCAGGTCTCCTGGTGCCACGTGCTGGGAATAGCCCTTTACACCAGGATCATCTTCCAAAAACTCGGAACTCCAGTCTCATCACAAGAAAAGCATCAGACACACCCAAATTAAGGAACATTCTACAATGTACCCAACCAGTCCTCCTCAAAACTGTCAAGGTCATGAAAAAGAAGAGAAGTCTGACACTCACAGACAGCCACGGGGAGCCTGAGGAGCCATGAGGGCTACATGCCACGCGCAATCCTGCCACAGAAGAAGGAAATCTGGGAAACGCTGAGGAAATCTGAATAAAGACTGGACTTCAGTTAACAGTGGTGCATTGATAGCGGTCCATTCACTGTGTCCAGCACATCACAAATGTCAGATCTTAACAACAGAGGGAGCTGGTGCAAGGCACACAGGATTCTCTGCACAGTGTTTGCGGTTTCTCTGTAAGTATAAACTGTTCTCAAATCAAAAGTTTATTTTAAAAAAGAGGAGAACTGGCTGGGTGTGATGGCTTACGCCTATAATCCCAGCACTTTAAGAGGCTGAGGCGGGCAGATCAGGAGGTCAGGAGTTTAAGACCAGCCTGGCCAACATGGGGAAACCCCATCTCTACTGCAAAACCAAAAATTAGCAGGCACCTGTAATCCCAGCTACTCGGGAGGCTGAGGCAGGAGAATCACTTGGACCCAGGAGGCAGAGGTTGCAGTGAGCCAAGATCATGCCATTGTACTCCAGCCTGGGTAACAGAGAGAGACTCCACCTCAAAATAAACAAACAAAAATTAAAATTAAAATTAAAAAGGGGATAACTAGCACAGAGCCATTCAAAACGAGTGCAAGATTGGG